TGTCAAATTCAATTATTACCAAACTTAATTGGGAGTTCTCTCAAACATGTTTTCTACATTCATATGAAAACAAACTCGAGACTTCATATTTAAACAATCTTAACCTCTTCTTTTATGATCAACATCTGTTCAGTTTTTTATATAGACATAAATAATTCATGTGAATTAAGTATGAGGCCTCATTAGAATCAAGACATGCTTTTGGATTCAAAAGGCACTAACAACATATTGCCTATCAATAATGTTCTCATACTAACAGTGATATTTGATCTTATTGTTTTATGAATTATGAGCTAAATTCTTATCAAATGTACTAATTTTTATTAATTGGAAATTAAAATTGGGTTTTGCAAAATTGTACCCAAAGATACTAATGCCCCCCAAAGGCCAGCACAAATGAAGCAAAAATTACATAACTGCAGTTTCTATGCTAATTATTTTTGACTAAGTAATTACAAGGAGTAGGCTTTGCCAACAATAGAGATTATTTCTTTTAAGATATTGTGGGTAAAAGATAAACATTTCCCTACTAAATTACAACATAGACTAAGATTCAAAGGAGGTGATAGATTCTCTCCTCTTCCCTTCCTGTCCTCTTCTCAATTGTTAACCATTAAATTAAAATTTGGATGGTTTATATTTAATCTTTTGTAAAATATTTTATTTTACTTTGTTTTCACTATATTTTTTTAATTATTCATATTAAATTTTAACAGTTTGAATTTTATTACTTTTATTTTTTATCATTTAATATTTTAAGATCCAATTTAAATTGTCTAAATCTTGATCCAATAGTTAAAAAGGAAAAGAGGACGAGAAAGAAAGATAAGAGGATCCATGCGAATCTTTAAGTGATGAAAGTTCCCACCGCTCATGTCAATTTTTGTTGTGAAAAAAACAAAAATTTTATGGTTTAATATATAAATAAATACTTCCCATTAATATATATATTTTAAAAAAATCATGCATAAATTAAAATAAAAATAAAAGAATAATGTCAATATATGTAAATAATTGTATAAGTTGTTCATTATTTTTTTCAGAATTCTATAAATTTTTCTTAAATTTAAAAATATATAATTTAGTCTAGTTTAGAAGTTTGTTTTTTACCATAATATCCTATTTGCCTTGGTAAATGTGCTTTGTATTTAAAACGCTAATATGGAAAAAAAATCGTTTTAAAAAATATAAAAATCAAAACCAAAGGACTGCTTCTATATTCATTAGATTTGATCAAAAGAATTTACAATTTTAAATTTCCAAAATAAAATTAAAAAATGCTTAAATTTACCAAATATATTTTAAATAGTTCTCAACAATTTGCTTTAGTCATATAATATTACAAAAATTAGATGTTCTTATTCCAAAAAACATATATATATATATAAAACCATTGGATTCCGTCAAGTCAAGTTGACTTAGTCAACTGAAAATAATTGAGCATTAAAACGAATTAAAGTGGAAAAAGCATAATGTATGTTTGCCTTATCTCTTTATTTTTGGCCACCCATGTGAAGAGTGATTCTTCTTCACAAAAGCTTAGGTTATACCGAAAAGGGAAATTTGGTCTCAAAAACAGAAATTGAATTTTTACTTAGGCACAAATGTATGTTACCTAAATTCTTTTTAAGATTAAGGATTATTTTTATCCCTAAACTGTATACAAAAAGTTATAAATATCTCTAAACTCAATTATGGATCAATTATAATTCTTAACTTTAAAGATTCCTTTTATCATCACCCTAACATTAAAAACACTTAACATCCATTGATCATTAATGAGTCTCACTATTTTTAATATTTTTTATCAACTTAAATATCATTTTGCCCCTCAACTTCTATTCAAAGAATCATTTTTATCTCTCAACTCAAATATTTTATAATAAAAAAAATAAAAAATGTAATGTAAGTCTCACTAACAGTTAACTAATAGTGAAAAATTAGTAGGGTGATGAGGAAGAAAATATTTAAAATTGATGAACATAATTGATTCATAATTAAGTTTAGATGTATTTGTAATTTTTCATGTATAGTTTAGAGACATAAATGACCATTAATCATTCTTTCCATATATTTCTAACAAAATAAATAGAAAGATTATCCTGGGTTCATAATTATTCCTTTATCTTTTTACTTCACAAAAATAATACCTTGATATTCAATTCTGAAATATTTACCAAAATTCAAATTAATTATTGATACAATAAAGTTATTCAAAATGTTTTTGGAAAATTAATTAAAGGTAAAAATACAATTTTATCCTTAAACTATATATTTAGAAATATCTGAAACTCTAATTTTTTTTAATACAATTTTGTCTTTCAATACTTTAAAACATCGCAACGTGCCACCTCCCATTAATTAGAAGGCAATTATTCCGTTATTTTTATGTTGTTGGCTTGGGAGAGGGCCTCTCCTTTTCCCTTGCTTTCAATTTCCTTCGTTTTCCTTTCATAATCATTAGATCAAAGATTTTATCAGTTATGATTTAAATATTTGATAAAATTATTATTGTAAGTTTATATAAAAATATATAAATAAATTTTTTAACTCTGAGAATTTGATATAAACAATTTAAAACTATAATTTATATATTTTTGCGTAAAATTATAAAAAATATTTTATCAAATATTAAATCAAAATCGTTAAAAAATTTTAATCTAATGATGATGAACGGAAAGGGAAAAGAATGGAGCGTAGGGAAAGGGGTTCCCTATTATGGCAGCCAGGCTCCCTTTTTCTTTTGACAAATAAGTGTGACGCTTTTAAAATTTCAATATTGAGAAGCAAAATTGAAAATTATACCAAAATAAAAAGTTTAGGATCCCTAATATTGCAACGGATCTGATTTTTATCACAATTTTTTTTTATAACAGAAAACCTCCCCCTGTTTTTCTTTATCAATAAATATACCTATCTAAATAAAACGAGATCAAGATTAACTATTATTATTGGACTTAAGACAAATGAAACCCAATAAACAATTTGTAACAAATCCAGGGTTCAATAACAATTTATAGCTATAATCAATTATGCTAAACACACGTTTTTTTTTTACTATTAATATGTACAATCCAAAATAAATAGGCATGGCTCAATAGAAAATTATGGTCTAGATCAACATGTTTAAAAGTTATCCAGCTTAAACCAAAAAAAAATTAAGTTGTTCTAGTCAAATAGCCTATAATAATTATTCAAAATAAAATTTATAAAGAGTTTCTAGGTCATGGCAATTATAAGAACAAAATAAACAGAAAATCACATGTCGAGCTAAGAGAAAAGGGAGCCCAAGCTCACTTCTTCAATGCCCTCCCTATAGCTCCACTTAACTGCTCACCTAAAAAATGATAAGAAATGACATGTGAAATTAAAATCTCAATAACAATTGGTTATTCTAATATATACTAACATACTTTTTAAAACAAGTTCGCAAACATATCTATGAATATACATATGAATCTCACAATCAATACACAAAACAAGGGATGTAGTATTCATAATTATATAACAATTTCTAAATCAATATTAAATTAAAACAATGGTGATACATTTTTAACCTCACTCTTATGGCTCCCAACTCCCTTGTTACTGCTAGCTGGAGCCTAAACTGAGGTTATACTTGATCAAAGGTACATTGCCATCAAAATAAGACTCTCTTTCTTAAAAAGGAGGTGCTCATCGTCCCAAAATGTCAAAGACATTGGGAATTATAAGAAAAAGGTCAACTACTACGTGCGTAGTAGAAGCAAATCACGCGGTATAAATATTCAATCATCAATCCCAAACAAACAATTATATTACTACCCATCCTTATTACTTCTTTTGCATCATATAAAATAAATATTACATTCCACGATAAAATCACACAAGTATTAATATATATTCACACACACACACAAAATAATAAAAACTAGTATCTCAATATATGAAAGAATTTTCAATGTTACCTCTTTTTTAAACTATAACTAACTCGAACGTATAAAGAACTTCTTAACCACAATAATAGATTAATTTATGACATTGAATGATATTAATAACATTATATATATATTAATTATAATTTATCAATTAAATATAAAATTCAACTAAACTTCTCAAATTTACAACCATATCCTTTCAATTTAAATTCCTCCAATAAAAATCCAAACCTAAGTTAACTTATCTAAGTCTCAAAAACACAATTTAAACAATATGAATATCCTATACATAAGAAATCACAAAATGTATAGCTAAAATTTTAATTTTAAACTCTTAAATCAATTAATAGAACAAATCTAAAGCAATAAAATTTAAATAATAATTTATAATTTTTATTGTTAAAAGTCAATATTTATTTTAAGTTTAAACGCTCTATTCATCAAAATTTTATTATAATTAGAAAGCTCTAGACTAGTAAAAAAATATTTATAAACAAATTAAAAATAAGAATTATTTTGAGCATGAAATCTCATATCAAAATCTCCTCAAATTTTTTATCCTCTCCTTCCTCTTCTATCTATCTCTTATGTGCGTAAAATGAAATAAGAAAGCAAAGCCAATAAGATATATAAATTGGCCTCAACTCCACCGCCTCTTCTTCTTATAACCTTTTTTTTTTTCAACTTCAATATACTTCCTCATTAAGTCTTTTCTTTATATATATATATTATCATTTATCATTATTATTTCTAATTTAAAAAAAAACTTAACATAAAATTATATCCTAAATTAAATAAAAAAATTTTAATTAATTTATTTACCTTCAACTATTCTCCTTAATTTTTATTAATTTTAATTAACTTAAAAAATTTAAATTAGGATGTTATAAATATTTTCAACCCAATAGTTTAAAGATAAAATGGACATTTTAAACATTAATTAATGATATATTCAACTAATTGAAGAATCTCTCCGTCAGTTATAGCTGTACATCATCTCCCAAACCCAATAAATGCAGAAGACAAATATTCAGTCCTTGAACAAGAATTAGAGAGAGAGAAGGAATCGGTGAACTCGAGGGATGATTTCCCAAAAAAAGAATATACCGTGGCCAGTTAGGTGATTATAACAACGTCAACATTTCCTGAGATTCAACACAATAAGAAAAACCAACTGGTTCCCTATTTGACTACGTCAGCGTAACGAAACACGTACTTTTGATCGGAAAAACAAGACAATCAAATCAATTTGTTGCTGTAACTGGGTATCCAACTCCATGTCTGGTCGTCGGAAAAACAACGAACAACATGCCGCAGATCAGACCTATCCCTACCGGAACAATGTCCAAAACTTGCTTCGTCTCCGCCGCCGGCGCCGGATACATACAGCTCACCACGTTCCTGTCCCTCAAGGCCACCGCCACGAACACCGATACCGATAAAAGCGCGTGGATGAAGTCTATCAGCCTCACTCTCTTCTTGCTCATGTCCGGAAGATCCGACCCGGACCCGTCCACCGGGTAGTCGAACAACCACAGCCCCTTGAAGGTGGCAAGGCCGTGGTACACCTTCCCCTTAACCTCCACGCTGTCGGTGAAGCTGGCGAGGAAGCACGACACGGCAAGAAGGGCCAGGAGCGACGCGCTGAGGAGGCGCGTGGTGTCGGTACAGGCTCCATTGTTGGTGAAGATCGGCGTTAGGATCTGGAAGGCCAAGAGAGTCCCTGTAGGAAGAAGGTTGGCCAAGTTGGCCGTGCTGGTTAGGGTTCGAGAGATCGCTCCTTGAGCTGGTGGCCGCGAAGACGACGATGGGCTCTTCTGTAATCGTTGTTCCGGCGACACTAAGGCGGCTGCCTCGGAGGACTCATCGGACGTGGAAGGCTGCTTGGTGGTTTGAGGTCGTTGCCTGACAGACATATTGTCACTTGGTATACGTTACGTTAATGTTTCTGTTTGAAAATTTTGATTTGTGAATGTTTGTGTGTTGTGAAAGTGCGAGCGCGTGTGTCTCCATATATATATATATATATAGAGAGGGGGGGGGGGGATAGGTTATATGTAAGTGATTACTTGTCTTAAGGGGCAAATTAGTGTTATTTCCACGGATGTTCCTTGTTCACAGGAGAGAAGTTTCTAAGGAGAAATTTCTATCACGATGATGTGGAGTCAACGGCATGTGTACGTTTAATTATACAAATTCGAGGAAGACGTGTTTTAATTTTAATACTTTCCAGAAAAAAAGGAAAAAGAAAAAAGACTTGTTCTTGAGTCTTGGTCGTCATCAAGTGAATAGAGTGGCGTGGAGATGAGATAGAGTTGGTTAGGTAGGTGAAGTTTAACCTTTGGATTAACTAGTTTTCAACTTAGAAGTAACCCCACGTGCATGATGAATTCTGATTCCATTGAATCTTAAAACTAAAATTAATTTTTTCATATTTGGACTGGTTCAATATAATTTGACTGCGAAATCATGAATTTTAAGTATACGAATATAAGAATATGGCAAGTTAGAAAAAATTATTAGAATTGCTTTACGGTTGGAAACTTTTTTTTTAAAAAAAAAAAAGGAAAGAAAATTACAAATAAACATGCTGGCCTATTGGAATGTTCCAGGAAAAATAGTCTGGCGCGAAATCAAATACAAATAAATAAAACAAAAGTGAAAAGGGAAAGAAGCTACCTGACATGATCAATTAAAATGTTAGATTTCATCTGATGAATGTTGAGAAAGTCTACACGGAGGCATGAAATGCAGATCGACATCTTTGGGAATGAGTATGTATCAGTAAATTGGAAGATCCATAAGATACTTCGTCTGAGGCAATCTAAATTTGAAAGAAGAGTGATCAAGCATGAAGTTACCAGATTTCTTCCAGGAGATGCTGTGGAGGTGCTGGTTGGTCAGAAAGATGAAAAACCGAATCGATCTGTTTATTCCGATCTTGTGGCAGAGTTGAGTCTTCTGAGTCTTCTGAGATTTTTGTTTGCATGCATATCATTGTAGAGAAATAGATCTGATGAATAATGTCTCTGATTGCTATTTTTGGATCTACGATTTTCCCAGTTCTTAGAGTCAGATTTCTTAAATCCCAGATTTTATGTAAAAGGAAGATAATTTTTGTTAAAATATCTTCCTTATGCTCCAGAAGAAGGGTTTGAAGAATTCGCTTAAGGTGATTCACTGGGTTGGGATTGTTAACATCATGTTGGAAACTTTCAACTAGAGTTGTCAATGACTTGATTTGGATTCAAAAATTGTTTTCATATTTGAGCCAGGTTGGACCAAAATTAAGTTGTCATTGAATCAAAAATTGGAACCTAGCCAGAAATAAAAGGGGTATAAACATAATCTTAAATTCTAATAAAAGTCAACTTCATTTTTAAATCCTTCATATACATACATACATACATACATATATATATGATTTGAAATTTTTTTTCTAAAAAAATATTAACAACTATGAGTGTAAATGCAAATATTTTATAACATGTTAATAGATTTAGCTATGGATTTATTTCTTATAGATAAATATATTATATATGTTTCAACAAAAATAATATATATATATATATATATTTTTAATATTATTTTTTATTTAATTATTATATTACTAGTTTGATCGCCAATCTAAAAAGTTTAATCATAAAAAAATTAAAAATAGAGACTCATTAGCCTTATCAAAAATTTATGCAGCTTTTAAAATAGTGGATAAGTGAAATCATTCTAAATTTATAACAGTATATAATAAATAAGATTATGTGTGCTTGTCCCAAAAAAAAAACTCATATTTTTAGTTTTGTATGAAACTTTTAATTTATTATTTATGCTTTAAAAATTACATTTGATTTGGTATTCAAATGCCAATTGTTTTTTTTTTTTTTGGCTAAGGATAGATTTGACTGTATTTTTTTAGAAGAAAAAATAAAGAGTCGACTATAATTTACATAACAATAGGCAACCAACGATTTTTCCCTCTAGGAATTATAGTCAAATAAGGAACCAATTGCCAACCCAATTTATAATATGTAATGTAATTGAAGTTAATGAAAAAAGAAATTCACACAATTTCAAAGTCGAGACCATATATTTAAATAATCATAACTCTTTCTATTAAAACCAATCTCTGTTAATGTCGGCCAAAAAAAAAAAAACCAATCTCTGTTAATAAGTTCTATTCATCCAAATATGTCAAAAAGAAAAGCAAATCATATATCATAGCAATTCTATTTTGAAGAACCCACCAATCGATGGATCTACCTATTTATCTATATATCTTTCTTTTAGTATAAAAATTATTATCATATTGATATTAATAATCAGTAACACCCATACTAAAGACAACCTGGTTGGTAAATAAAAAATAAAAATAAAAAGAACCTTTTTTTTTAATAATTTGTTTCGTTTACTTTTATAGATGACCTCTATCTCACAAATGGTGAAGATCAAGAGGAATAAATCATTTTGTTGATTTGCGAATCATACGACTAATTAAGATTTTTGTTTTATATTGATATGACACTAATGATTAATATGTATATTGATTATGAATGGAGAAAAAATCAGACTTTCTTTCACGTATAAATTGTATAATTATTTTGTTTATACAGGGTACTATTAAATCATATTCAAACATTATCCAGCTCAAATGGCCCGCCCCCCACAACATGAGGCAATTATATTGCTTGAAAATTGTTAACATGTAATCTAATGAAAAATAAGAAAATAAAATGAATAACGGAAATTTTTTAACTAATTTTATAATTCTTCAAAACTTGTTCTCTATAAAATTTTCAAGTTTTTCCAATAGCACAATTTTTGCAGCTTGCTAGATGAAGTGAGAAGTTTCAAGTCTTACCGTGCCTCAAACAGAATTTCTTTTAATAAAAAAATACATGTGTAAAAAAAAAAAAGAAAAAGAAAAAGAAACATGCAAAGAAAGATTCTTTCTATTAGTATTTGGAACTGACAGAGGCCGAGCTCAAATTCAACAAAATGATACCAAGTACCAGATGATTCTCATAAAAAACAAGCTTTATCCCACTGGATTGGCTCAGCATGATTCTCACAAATTAAAAAATATATAATTCTAACCCTCACTACTATTCTCTTTCACTTTCATTTTCATGGTTCCTCTCTCACCCCAAAAAAAAAAAAATCCCAACCATAAGATTGGGATCACTAGAAAAAAACATCAATTTTAAAAAATGATTGAAGAGAAGATCATGGATCAGGTCTACAATTGACTAATGCCACTAACTTTGATGAGTGCCTGAAACTTTTTTTCTTTAGCCTCAGATGAGTGCCTGAAACTCAAATACAGCATGCTATAGCTTCGTGCCACTATAGGCGGGGATGCACACGCTGGCAATAAACTCTGAGTTCCAAAACTTTGTCAAAACGCCTAAGGACAATCACATACACGGCAAGTTTAATTCATTAAAAAATTCAGTTCTGGTTGACAAATTATGTTTTGGTTCAGCTTATTGCATATTTCTGAACAATCCCACATGGCCATTACCTCAAGGCAGATCATATTTGACCTCTCCTAGGTACAGACCGCAAGACGGAGCCATGGGACTTGCAGCTGTCACGTCTTTTGCATTCAGAATCCTTTCAACTACAATGATGCAAAGTCTAAATAATCAGATAAATGAAATGATTCTGCATATATTAACACAAATGGATAGGGATGATGATTGATATGAATACCATCTGAAATCGTTAAACTTCCAGCTCCCACAGCTTTGAGAACACCAACGAGTAGTCTAACCTACAACGGCACGAACAATATCAGTGGTCGGCCAAAATGGATAGTACAGCGAGTGAAATGTAATGAAAAATGTAACCAGTGACACAAATTCAAGGGTACGAGAGAATATTTGTCCAGGGTCTTAATTCAGGTAGCTTAACTGTTTCAATTTCAACAAGCGAAACCAATTATGAAGCATTGAAGTATAAGTATGAACAGATCAATGAGAAAATATAATAACACAGGAAAGGCATGTGACATTAGCTCTAAATAAAAGTTAAGATCCTCCATATCAGTTTAAAAGTATGAGAGCTAAACGACAATTCATTTATGTTAGGTGGGTCCTCTCTGATGAACTCTTTTGCAAAATGTTTTGTTGTCTTCCACAGTTCATCCTCTTGCAACCGTATCATTTATTATCCCTTCACAAAACCAAAACCCTCCTAGACAGCATCTGAACAAGTAAAATATGTTCAATATGAAACAGATTTTGGACACTTTTGTTCATATTCCGTAGATAAAAAATGTATTAAGGAACCAGAAAAGACAGAAACTCAGGTTGAAAACAAAGTAACCGTCAATGAAAACCATGATTATGCATGTATCATTTCATGCTCACTCTCTGAAGCATGCATCTACCCATACCAAAATACATCTATAATTGCTTTAGTTAATGTTAAAATGCTAGATGCAACTAAGTAGGTTTTGATTGTAATGCTGACAGGATAGAGACTGATATCCTAGCGTTAAACAGGATGTGTTTTGTAGTCTTTGATGTTGTCTTGTATCATTGACATATAAATACAGAGTTTCACGAAGCTCAATACTCTCTGATTACATTCACCTGAAAGGGTTTTCTCTCATTCTCTCAATTTCTTATGGTATCATAAGCCGAAATAGCTTTTTTTGTCAGTCTCTTTCAGTGAGTGCACCAGATTGGTCACCAAGCCTGACCAATATTAGACCCAAGCTCCCTTGGCCACTACAGGTGTCCCTGTGCACCTAATTGAGGATTTTGCTGCATCGCCCATATGCTGGCATATGACACACTTTTGCGAGCTGCTGTTAAGTTAAAGGCTAAAACTGGCTGTTGATCACTGTAGAGTCTAGCCCAACATATCATGAATGGACCAGGTTCACGGTGTTCCTTCTCTGTCAACTAGTTTTTCATTTACTGAAGTCAAAGGGTTGCCTTCAATCTAAACGCCACGGCCACCATTTCCCATGCTTCCACAGTAAAAAAAAACTGACTTTTAGTACTCAGTATTCTGAAAATCCTGTTATCACTACAGAAAAATTTTAGGGCTTTATCTAATAAATATGTGTGTATATATAGGGCTTTAATTTATCAATTGGTGTTACATGAGAATTATTAAAGGGTAACTAGAAATGCAAAATAAATAGGGTCAGAAGAGAAGTAATGGTGTCTTGTGAAATGAAATTCTAGTTTTCCTTAATTCGCCACGTATCAACTCGGGTTACATATGTCAGGCTTTGGTTTCTTGAGCAAGGCCATGAAATCATTAAATGAAAAATGTAGATGATATTCCTGAAATTGAGAGGCCTATATGAAAGAAGTAGCCCATCAACTATATGGTTCATATTGCATTTTATTGAGCATAAGTTGTGGCACATTCTTCATAATTAAAAAGACATACTATACTCCGGAGAGGAGGGGGAGCATGTTTTACCTTCTTAAAATGGACCAAAATGATATAAAGTAAAGGGATTCGACATGTTCATACAGTAAAATAAGTAAAATGTCATATAATCAGTAAAAAATGAAACTTTGAAAAACCAGTTCCTATTTAATCAGATATCTTTAATTCAAAACTTGTTCACAACAACAAACTTAACTTTGATCTGATAAGAAACCCAACCTGATGGTAAAGGAAAGAGCGTGCACGTGCTGTTATCACCAAGCAACAATGTCTTCTCCTTTGGCCAAATCCTAAAGTTTCTTTTGATGGTGCTTTTTCAATGCTTGGGACAGAATTAAGATGACAGTCAGTTGCGCACTTGCTGACTTCATTTTGTTTTCTGTCCATTACAGATGGAAAATATGGACTTGGAATTACCTCAGTTACAGTAAGTTCATCTAAAGTTCTAATTGGTGACTTCGCCTGCAATAGAGCAGTTAGATATCATAATTTACAGGTGGTTCAAAATCTTATGATGTTGTTCTTGCAAACAGGAATACTAATAAAAAAGAAAGGAGACAAATTTTTTAAAATGAATTTTAAGGGCATTAAGCTAAAAATATTTTTATTCAAAACTCAACAATGATTTCTATTTGATAATATTGGAATTGAAGTACACCAAACAAATCACTTATATCATCATTTCCCAAAGAGGGAAAGAGAAGGTTGCAAATATGTCATCTTTATTTTAGTAACATTAATGGAATGGATGGTAAATCATGCAAGTAAATTTCTTCTTTTAAATGCATGCAATGCATAATAGAGCCTTTGAGATGGAGATGAAAAACAACCTGACAACCAGCTGACCTGAAGGAACTAAAATCATGTTGTCCAACAAGAACTCTGCATGCCTCCTGCATGACAATAAAAAAATAATTATCTCTATTTATCAGAATTTTGAGTTTATAATCTAGACCATACAGTGAAGTGTCAATAACCTGCATAGCAGGAAGATTAAGCTCCTCTGGTACATGCCATGCCCGATCTTTCTCAAAGGATGACAAAGGCTCTGGCCCAGACAGCAAGCGATAGAAGTACCTAAACAAAATTAGGGGGGAAAAAACTATCAGTTGGTATGGATAATCATAAACCAAATAAAACACAATTCTATGGCAATCCTGCAATAGTTTTCAGGTTCCAGCAATCAAGATCAGCCTAACATTTTTGTCCTTAACATCCACATGGCTATTTCTGATCTTTTATGGTGAAGTAACTCTTCAGTCCATAATTTTCATGTAATAATATAATGTGAAAATTGCATGTGTGACAACTGTTAATAGACAAATGTATAAGTTGATGTTATGAAAAAGAAATGCAAATCATTGAGTACATACGTACGCTCTTGTGCTTTATATCTAGCATGGAAATCAGAGGGCACGCATCGAACATCAATAATTGATATGTCGCCTTCATTCTTCTAAGATAAATCAAATTAAAAGAAAAATGTTTCAGGAATTTTGAGCATAGACAATAGCAAAGACTAAAGTCACATTAGCTAATAAATGAAATAGAACTCAAGATTTAAGATTTTAAAATTGTAACATTAATATTCAAGCATGCTATGGTGCTAGTAATAAACTCTATAGAATGAGTCAGAGGAACACGACCCATTCCATTTTTCCCATTTTGCAATATTCAGTATGGAAATGCTTAGTTAAGTTCTTTCTAATTAATACAGCCAAACATTGGAGAACAGAAAACCAATTATCTTCCTGGATGGAAGACTATTACAAAGAATACATCTGCTCTTAAGTAGATGGAATATGTATGAACGATATAAGAACCTGTGAAATACAAATTTTCATATAATAACAACTCTGGCATTATTTATGATTCAACTTTTGGCTCTATGGAGTGATATTTTGAGCAAGTTCAATGCGATTGAGATGTTCTCAAGATAGAATAAACAAAACTACCTTATAAACAAAGAACGAAGTACATTTTTTTATGCAAAATAGTGGATATCAGAATCATGCATTGCTTGCAATTGGAATTCAAAAGCATCTTTAAGTTGCCCGTTCAGTTATTCTAGCACATTGGCATCACTTAAATTCAGTTGTTCACACTGACTTCAGAAGAATACTCAAAAACACCGATCTACTGACCCATTACAACCAGAGCTGAACTGAGAAGAGATCTCATGAAGGGGTGAGAGAGAGAAAGCAGCTGTAGAGCCCAACTGCTTTTGCAGTTCATTGAACATAATGTAGCAAAATCAAGAATGATCTTTGAAGACAGAAGCATAATGTTGAACTACAGCAAAATTTGCAAGATCATAGAAGAGCACACCTGTAAGAAATGGTTCACAGCTCTCCTAACCACTGCTGGCTCATGAGGTGGCAACTGTCCTTTCATAAAAACAGGAAAAAAATCATTAAAGTTTTATTAAATATGTCCCCCCTCCTTTGTCAACTTAATCCAGAGATGCAAGTTTTTTGTTTGTGACAAACCACTTCACCAGGCTTTCTTTTGCTTATGCGCTCAATGTCCACATGACACACATTTGATAAGGCATGTACTCCAGCATCCTGAAGTTATCACAAATATGTGTTCGAATGCTAGGTTAAATAACATATCCCTAAGTGCAAGGGCATAGCAAAATATTGCATACAAATGCAATGATACAGCTATACATATAGACAGACAACAAGGATGGCCCTTATGTTGTCATAAAAATGTCAGGCCAACACCTTAAATTTACAAACTGGGTCCCACAATATAGCCCTCTTTTTGCAATAGAAGGAAATTCATTTCTAAAAATGGTAAAAATAACTCCACAATAAGACACATGAGCTGAGCTATACTGAAACTGTTGAGAGTACTATCTTAGCACCATATTCTATATTGACCAAGCCATCACAGCTCATTTTATGCTAAAAGATATGAAATAAAATGTTGCCAAGATACAGAAACTTACAGTTCGACTTGAAAGAGAGATTGAAACTGGCTGGCCAATAAATTTATGGAAAGCATCCTACACATGAAATATCGTATATTAGAATACAATATTCAATCTATGAACCTTGATGCCTGAGTACTAATTGAAAACCCTATATATGGATTTCACATGACAAAAAGACACCTCCACTCCATGCTACTAGTCAAAATAGGAGAAAGAATTAAATAAACAATAACATAAAACATCCAAACTAAGAATAAAGAATTTCACCACTAATTCACTTCCTAGCTCCCCCTCCCCCTGCCCCAAAGCCACTAAGTTTTACCAACATAAACATAAACTCCATATCTTTTACCTTCATTCAAGCATCAGAAAAAGGAAATAACTAAAAGAAAATAGGAAATACTATAAATTTATTAGTGAAAATTTCCTGGTTTTTTCTAATGAAATTAATAAGGGGAAAAGATGAATTTGTCATTATCTCCTTCCGGTAATTTCTTTTCTACCAACAAATTGACTAAACCAAAATACTGAATAGCCCTTTGAAACCCAAAAAGAAATGTATGTTGAATAACAATTATTTTATCCAGATCCAGATAACTGACCATATAATGAAGTACAAGAAGAATGCAATAATTATTATATTATATTATCAAATCATGGTAACTAAGCAATTGGGGTAAATTATGAATAGTGATTGAACATAGATACTTGGTGTCCCATTGTAGTATCTTAGCTGGATTAGCATTTCAATTATTCATATTGGTTTTCTTAAGATATATTGTCCAGGATTGCTGAATAAATGGTCAAGAACGAAGGCACACTTAAGGTGCTAAACTCCTCAGCTCATTGCAGTTTAAAAGACCCTAGGATAGTGGGGGCAATGATGTGAGAGGTATACACATGTATGGATTCAAAATTTCAAGAGATGTGAGAGCCTAATATGAACGAAGTATATACTAGAACTGATACAATATGTATTAGTCACCAGAATGCTACTCTTTGTTTGTTTCATTTTTTTTATTGAATAAAATTAATATATATTATCTCCTTTAACTATAATGAAATTCTTTGCAATCTTTTTCTCGATATAACCACCCAAAATTATATGAAAAAAAGGTCATCTTCCGTTTTCTTATGAAGCTCTGCTTTTACATTGTGTAGACGATGTGGTCAAAGAAACCGAAAGGGAAGGATCTTTGAAAAAGTGAGAATTAGAGACTAGAGAGTATATTGTTAGTTCTTGGAGAATGGAGGGAACAGGGGCTTTCGGAGGAACTTTAATATAATTTATTATAAGTTTTTTAAAAATTTACTCTTATATATACATATATATATATATATAGGGAGGCAGCTTCCCCTGAACTGCAGAACTTTGGTTGGCCCTTGATAGATACCGTAGGGCTCCTTGGATATACAATTTTTATAAATTAACTGCTCAAGCATGGAATTAACATAAAAAATAGTAAACTTTCAATACAGTATGATAATACATAAAGATTCAAGTCCCAAAGTCAAAAAGATGTGATCACACTGAATTCAGAATTTACAATAAGTAGAACTCATTCTTTTAGTTTTTTATTTTTTTTCTTTTTTTCTTTTTTTTTTTTGGGGGGGGAGTTTTAGGTTCTAACTTTTCAAAGTTTGTTTTGATGTCTCCATTCCTCCACACTAATTATGTTTTAATATAATAACATGCATTAGAAATTTAGTTAAATGTAAATGAGCTAGCGTAACCCAGTCATTGCTTTCATATTGACTGAGAAAGCCCTCTTATCTCTCCAGCATGGGATCCCTCTCTCAGACCATATTTCTTTCATCATGACTGAACATAAAGAAGGACTCTGAAGACAATGTGATTCATCCACGCTGGCTGAACAGAGCTAAAACTCTAGCATTGAACAAGTAAAAAGAAAGCAAGCATAGTAGATCAGCACACAGCAAAACAAATTCATAACTTCATCATAAGCTTAACATGATGCATTATCTGAAAAATGTTTTTTTTTTCCAAAAAAAAAATAGAGATTTCTCTTAGAAGCCCAAGCTGATTGCCTTAGCTCCCTTAACAAGGAATTAAGGTAGCGTAACCAGGACCTCTTATTCTTTAGTCACTCCTTTTTGTGCCTTTAACTTCACTGAAATTGCTTATACCTTAGCCTAAAGGAAAAGCAACCTTTGATTTTGACATTGATATTAAATTAAATTGCAACCACCCTACAAACCATTATCTTGATATTAATTTAGCAAAGGAAATATACTAATGGCATCTATCCTTTATTTATCCAACACTTCCCTAAAGCCTCCGTTGGTATAACCAAAATGATAGAGTACATTTTCTCGACGTTCAAATAGTACTTAAAAGGCGCCATTTTGCCTTCTAAGCGATGGTACCCGCAGCTAAAGTTACTGACAAGTTAACCATACCTGTAGAACACCGACGACAGTGCGGCAATTGAGTTGCTTCTGAGAACCAGAGAAATGAGTCCCAATATACTCAATTGCCAACAAATAGCGTTGAATCCTGGGGTTTTGGCTCATGGATAGATGGTGAATAGCAGCAGGCTTTTGCTCTTCGTCGTCGTCGCTAAGATCCTCCGTTTTGGCAATCTTAGAGTGCCTATCAGCAAATTCTAAGTCAGTTTCCAACGTATGCTTGGGATTTGTTGTCATTTGATGATCCTCAGCCCACAAATTTGAGCGGCCAAACCAGAACTGCAACAATGGCTTCCAACTTTCTCTGTTTCTGTAGTTTTCGTAAATGAACAGCCGTATAGGGTCAGTGATCCTGACTTGGGGGGGAGGGTTAAGGTTAAGCGGAAGAAAATAGAGTGATTAAATATTAATCTCTCCTCAATTTTATTGACAAGATTAAAATAAACTACACTTCCATTTTGCCTTAATTACATAGACATTTTTTTTTATTTTTAAACCATACAGTTTAGTCCATTCTATTAATTCTGTTAAAAATATTCTGAAAATTTCTAAAAACTTATTTTTAAATTAAAATGTTTATTAAAAAAAATTTTATTTACTAATTTACCCATCATCCTTATAAATCCTAAATTATATTATTTTGAAAATTACATGATTTCATTGTAAAAAAAACATATTTATAAGTTTTAAATTTAAATTATTTATATAATCTCTGAACTTATCTCATTTTATGTTATGTGAACAACAAAAATATATGTTTTCAATATGTTTTCAGCAACTTTAAAAGACATAGATAAATAAGCTTCAAAAAATTAGATAAAAATTAAAATTATAAAATTTTATAATATGATAAAAATTAATAAATTTTATAATATAATAGAAATTTGAAAATATATTTATTATATTTTTTAGTTTTATAAAAAAATTGGCAAATGTAGGTTTTTGGATAATTCTTATGTTTAAAGAGAGTCCTTTTAGTCAAATTGAAAGTTTAAAAATCAAACTTAATGGTTAACTAATAATTGAATGAATGAAAATGAAATATTAAATATATAAAAAAAGTTTATGTAATATGTCTTTTAATTTTAGGGAAAGTTTATATGAGTTTTTAAAATAGAGAGAAAGTCTATGTAATTAAGACATATAGAATGATGGTCAATATATTTCACTCCATTAAATTTGTCAATCCTCATTCAATTTTATTAACGTTACATTTATGATGTCAATAGCCTTATAACCTTGTGGCATGAAAATTTTTTTATAAGTGAAAGATCGTAGGTTCAATCCTATTTGTAACCTCAAACCATTAGTATTTGCCCTTTAGTTCCAAAAAAAAAGTTATATTATGATCTCTTTAGGTTAAAACTTAGTTTTAATTTCATCTTTAAGGCATAGTGCAACTTTTCATTTTCAAGGATAATGCAATTTGTCCCTTATATTTGGATCATTTAAGTTTAATTTTTATTATTTCAATTTTTAACTTTTCATGAATTTATTTGATTCATCCTCAATTTTATGAGGGAAATTAACAAAAAAAAATTGTGAGGTAATTAATACCCTTAAATTATGCTAACATGGCTATTGAAATGATGATGTAGGAGTCATATAAAATTATAGGTGAAAAGTACAAATAAGTATGTAGAAATAACTTATTTAAAAATAAGTCATGTGAAATTTAAAAATTACAAGTAGATTTAAGTGTAGTTTAAAGTTGTAATGAAAAGAACTACCCTTACTTATTAGGTTACAATAACAAAGATGCTCCTCTACCTAAATTAAGCAATAAGATTTCTCTCTTGATCGATCCACTTCACGTTGCTTGCTCTGTTGCGTATGTTCTTATCCTTCATCAATTCGCATATTGCTTGCTCTACACCCCTCTCACTTTCTTTTTGGAATTGCATGTTAAGGAAAATTTCATGATATGTTATTATCATCATCACAATCAATTGTAATTGACGTTACTTCTCTTTATTCTTATACTTTCTTTACATGCTAAAGGCTTTATCTAAATCAATTAGTAAGATTTTGTTATTCAATTTAAATTTTCATCACTTTAAGTTTAAAATTTCATTGTTTAATATTCAAACTTCTCATAAAAGTTGCTAGGTATAGAGTAGTGGAAAAAAAAAATATGCAAAAAAGTTTGAGCATTCGTAAGTGAATTAAAAAGTTTTGCTTGTAAACTATAAGGTTATAGTTGTAAGTGAATAATAAATATAATTTCAATCTATTCATTATAAGACACAAAATAGAACTAGTAAATTAAGAAGTTATCTTGTAAATTGTGAAGTTACAACTATAAAAAAATAGTACATACATTTTCAGTCCATTGTTTATAAAATACAAAATAGGACTTTGAAATCAAGAAGTTTTACTTATAAATTTTAACGTTATAGTTGTAAATGAATGATAAATACAATTTTAATCTAATGTTTATAAAAACACAAAATAGAATTTGTGGATCAAGAAATTCTATTCATAAATTTTGAAGTCACAATTGTAAATGAATAGTAAATACAATTTTAGTCTAAAGTTTATAAAACACAAAATAGAACTAGTAAATTAAGAAATTATACTTGTAAATTGTGAAGTTATAGTTGTAAATAAATGATAAATACAATTTTACTTTACTGTTTACAAAATACAAAATAGGACTTGCAAATTAAGAAGTTTTACTCATAAATTATAAAGTTACAATTTTAAATGAATGGTAAATGTAATTTCAACCTACTATTTATAAAATATAAAATAGGATTTGTGAATTAAGAAGTTGTACTTGTAAATTGTGAAATTACAATTATAAGTGAATAGTAAATATATTTTTAGTCTACTGTTTATATTTAAGGGGTGATAGTGTCTTTTCAATCCAACTTCAAACTACACTCAAGTTTTAAAAAAAATTGACTTTAATTTTTAAATTTTGTAAGATTTATTTTTAAATAAGTTACTTTTATAAAACCTATCTGTAATTTTCCCAAATTATAAATAAAAAGTAAGAAAAAAAAAAACCTAGAGGAATAAGATTCTCTCCCCTTCCTTTCCATCCTCTTCTTAATTTTTGGTCATTAGATCAAGATTTTGGGTGATATCTCCGCCAAAATATTTTATTTATTTTACCTTTATTGTATTTTTTAATTGTTCCCATCAAACTTTAACAGTTTGAATTTTATTATTGATTTCTAGCAAAAAACTATTACTTATATTTATTTAATATTTTAATAATATTTTATATGAAATCAAATATAAAAATTTTGATCTAATGTCTAAAAGAGAATCCATGCTCGACTTGAACAAGGAAAAAGTACATTATTTGTGTAAACTAGAATTTTCTCCCATGCGATGCACGATAAAGATTTTCTCATGCGCGTTGTAAAATATTATAATTTTAAAAATATAAATTTATTGAGAGAGTTAAATAGTTCATTTAATCCTTAAAAAAAGCATGTTATAATTTATTATTGCTAAAAGTAATGTCTGTAATGTGATTTAATATTAATATGGGAGTGAATTACCCCCTTTTATTTTGATATGAGCAAACACAACAATAACAACAATGACAGGTTGATGCATGTGCTCTTCACTCTCGTAGTATGTGGCAGATGCGCACGTGCCCAAAAACAAAACATTTCGAATATATATTACTGCAAACAAAACTAAGTGTCAGCATAGAGAATAGTAAAATATGTCTGAGATGGTAATAGAGTCTGTGTGAATTCAAAATCACGTTTATACTTTGTATCTATCAAGATGAATTCAAGTTTTTGGCTAGCCTTGTTGTTAACTTCATCTCATCCAGTGGTTGAACAATTTTAGCAACCCAAAAACATCTAAAAAAAAAAAAAGATAATTTCAGTTCTCGTATCTATTTATTCTCAATATTTGAAATTACATGCTTAATAAGTTGATGTAGTAGTATTACCTACAAACTTGCACTACAATATTTTTGTTATCTTAAAACAATTACCCTGAACTTCTTAAGAGAACTAAGTGACTTTAACCACTTTTCTAAGTTGACTTATTAATATTATAATGCAAAATATTATTTATATATATAATTGTTAAATTAATTTTTTTAATTTATCAAATAATAAATTGAAAAATTAAGAGAATAAATAGATAAAAGTTTATATAAAAATTATACAAATAAATGAAAAATAAATTTTTATGTATAGAAAAATAACAAACAACAGCTTTTAAATATTGCTTGAAAGAAGATCTATAGGTATCATTTATATTTTTGTTACTTATTAAAAAGGAGAACATTTCTGAAATTGCCATTAAAGAACTTTTATAGGCAGCATAAAAATTTTAAAATTTTATTTAACACTTGAAAATTATTCCCTATTCTATTTTAAGAAACATTTTTCAAATGTTGCTAAAAATGTATTGCTTAAATAGAGGATCAATAGTAACATATAAGAACTATTACTTATGACCATATTAAACAACACTTTTAGAATTGTTGCAAATAAAATTATTGTCTAAAACAAAAAATATTCTAGTATTGTTGAGTGGCTTCTTCAACTTTCTAATATCTTCTATTTGCATAAAGTCAAAAGACATGTGAAGAGCATTAACAATTGATGGTCTCACATAAGTTGGTCGATGGATTTTGACATAATGGTCATGGCATGTGGCTTTGTATTGTGATGCATTATTGAGAACATGAAATTGCTGTATCTCATAGTACTTTCCTTCTTCCAGCTCATTATTGTTGAATTTCGTTAGCAGTGGAAGAGAGGAAATCTCTGCTTCGCTTTTTGTTCCTTGTCATAGATGGAAAATATATTAGATGAGGAAGATGGGTATCAAATGAAATATGTAACAATATACTTCACCCCTTCATCAATGAAGACCATCCCTGGGCCATATTGGTCATATGGTGCTTTGATTTTAGTCATTTTCCGTTTGTATAGGATCCTGATATTTATTTTCCATATTCCTTTCCTTGTGTTGATAGATTTGATGAGATCATATTTTTGTGTTTTCATTTTCACTTGAAGCAAAATTTAATAAGAGTAGAAAGTTAAAGTCATCCTCATATGTAATATAGTCTGAAAGTATTAGACTGACATGAACAGGGTTAGATTGGGACTTGTGAGTAATTGAGGGAATTAGGACAGTTTTTTCATAATCAATGGGATGATTATAAGAAATGAGAAGAAGATATCCAAAATAAAAATGATTAAAGGGAAGAAGAAGACTTAAAATCTTAGTTGCTTAGTTGTTTGTATGTGCTTCTGAAGCATTACCACAATGGTCAATAATTTAAATAAACTTACAGTGTAATTTTAAAGCTCCATTAGCGAAGTTTTTCAATTTTATTCAACAAGTAGATATATATTATATCATTAACGTGTATCTATTTGTAATATCTAAATTTTTTATCATCATAAATTTGGATGTATATTATATCATTAGTGGGTATCAAACCAAGAAACCAACTAAGAAGGATTGTTATAAGGACAAATTGAACTAATGACCATTCCTCATGATCAAGTGAACCAAAAGCCTATGTAGCTAATCTACAATGCTACTCCTACCCATATTCATAAGAAACACTTAATAGTTAAATATGTATGCAAGTAGTGTTTAAATAAACCAACACATTGGCATAGGAGTTAGATATAGATCTTACCTTTGATGAAAGATTGGAACTTAATTGTGTTTTTTTCCTTTTTATTTGGATCCTATTAATGAGAAAGAGACCATTGGAGAAATAAAAAAGAGGTTTGTAAAGAAAAATGTTTGCAAAAACTTCATGAAAAATAACATTCTTGACAATTCCCATAGGGCTTTTGCTCATGTCATGAATTATAATCTTCAACCCACTTTTTTTTTTATTTGACTCTTCATAAAGCAACATATAATTACTCATGTGTAAATATAGGTTTAGATAAATAAAAAAATATTATTCAAAAATTGATTTTAACTCTCATTGATTGTCCCAGCAAAGCAAACTATCAAAGGGAACTGTCATCTTTGTAACTTGAAGAGCAGGTGGCATTCACATGGATTCAAAGCCATTGTTTGTCCTTTTCTTTGTTCCCAGATGCAGTTTGGGAATTGAATGGACAGCAGGAGTTAGCTGGTGATATTTTCTTTTTGTTGGGCAAAACAATGAGGGCCGAAGCCCACATCACATAATCAGACTCTCAATAATGAACTTGGCTTCTCTCTCATCTTCAATGACTTGTCACCTTAAGGTCGCTCATCTCATCTGACATGTTCTTCATTATTCGCCACGAGTTTCGATGAAGCATTTAATGCCCCATTAAATCTCCCTCACTTGAGTTCACAAATCACAAAATGCGTCCACATTCAGTCAATTTTTTTTAAAAAAACAAATTATGTATAATTTATGTCAATTATTAAAGGCACTATGTTTAATGCTCATTGAAAAATGCTTGCCATTTTTGAGATCCGACTTGATATGATTTAGATTAGATTAATTAAGGTATGAAAGATTTCGAAAAATAGGTCTAAAATAAAAAAGTATACTCACTTCGTTTGAAAATATAAAATATTTTTAGTTAAATTTTTTTTAATAAAATAATTACTTATTTTTAAACTAATTCTATTTTTGTACATTTATCTTTATTAAATATCCTACAATAAATATAATGATTGCACCTTAAAAAATTAAAAATATTTTATATTTTTTAATATTTAACTTCTTAAAAAATATTTATATTTTATAATAAAGAGAGTAATTAAAGTATGTATAATATGAAACAGTTTATTTTTTCAAAAATAAAATAAAATTGGAATCAGTATTAGATTGAGGACGAAGCTCTTGTTGTGCACCTTGTCACCGTGCCTCGTACTGTCCTGCAGCGTACAATTTAAAAGGATTTGAGAAGACAAAGAAGGGTCAGAGGAATCCATTTGGTTAGATACCAAACGGGGCATCTTGTACCACGAATGTCACTTTCTTCAATATTGTCTAGATTTTTAAATTAAATTTTTTTTAAAGTACATTTTTTCATAAATTTTTAAATTCTGGTCTAAATTTCCCAGCTTCTCATGCTGTCTTAGATTTTTTTAAATTTCTTTGAAAGCAAATTTAATGAACAAGTTATCATCGGTTGAAGGCAGACGAAAGTATAAAGAAGACAGACAAAGTAGACATTATTAATCACATCAGTCGGAAGGTAACGAATCATTTTTATTCAAGTACACCTGCCAACCCATGTGCATTCACTTGGAATTGGATTTAAAAAATTTAATCAATGAATATTATTATAATTATAATATATAAATTTCATACATTTAAGAACCCGTCGAGCCAAATCTTTCTTCTAGTTAATTTAGGATTTAATTCTCTCAAATTAAATTTTTTAAATTTATGGGAAGTTCATATTTTTTTTAAAAAAATATTTTATATTATATGAGTAATAATAAAATGTGAAAAAATACTAAGAAAATTTCAAGAAAATTCTTAAATTTTAATTTTAGATAATTTAAATCCTTATTAAGTGTGTATAGTAGAGTATCTTCTAGGGCCCTATTTAATAATAGATATAAAGTTAAAAATTTACTAAAATTTAGACATGATTAATGAATTTTATGATTTTTTTATTCAATAAAATATATTAGAAGTAATTTATAAATAGGATCATAAAAATATTTATTTAAAAAAATTATATACTTAATGTGTTTATTTTCAGTTAAATTAAAATACATGAATATTTTTATAAATTATTTATTTTATAATAAACTTTTATCATTAATATTATTAACATATTAAAATATACTTATCATTCATTTGATTGAATGCAAGTATAATAAATGTATAAGATTTTTTGAAATATTAAAAATTTTAATTATTAACTTTTTTTTCAGTTATCAATTTATATCTTAAATTTTAATTCAATACAATTTAAATTTTATAATTTATTGAATTAAAAAATTATTAAAATTGACTTGTACCAAATTAAAAGAAATATAAAAAGTGAGTTGTTTCAAGTAGAAAAAAAATAAGTCGTTTTGATTTAAATTTTAAAACCGAATCAGTAATCAATAATTGAGAAAAGATTTAATAGCTAGCAGTTATATTTTCTCATTGTTAAAAGATTAAAATCAACTTTCTTGATAAGCCAAAACTCATATCACAATTTTATTTCTCGCATTAAATTCGCCAAACCAACCATGCTTCTTCGCACATGCCTGTCACTATCATCCCAAACAATCAATCAACGAGGGGTTCGTATCTGGAGGATCTCAACTCTCAACAATTATTTTGTTTGAGAAAATTGAAGAGGGTAAGAAATTTTTTTTTTTTAAAAAAAGATTGAGATCTGGGGTTTATTTCTAATTATTATTATTTTTTTATGGTTTCCTCTTGTATTTCCTATCTATTAAAATTTTTTAACTCCACTTGTTTATTTTTTAAAATTGAATTCATGAAAAATTTCCCACCCCAAAAGATTACAAAGTCAACATTTCTTTTTCATGCCAACCCATTTTTGAAAGTCACGTTAGGCTACCACAATCTCTGATAGAGCAAAATCAAGTCACATGATTACGAAGTTCTTCGAGCCATAATTGTTTTTCCATACACGAGAGTACGAGACGATGCTTTAATCGGTGGAAACAAGCACAAAAGCACTTGAAATAAATGTAACATGTTTCACATTACACAAACTCTGAACTTTTCACTCTTGATTCATTTTTGCTTGGTTTAAAATAAAAGTGATTGGTTACTCATCCATCACCCACGAATTGTATGACATATATGACATTCAAAATTAAAGATAGGGCAAAGAGATGCTTCAGTTTCCCAGGATTGGTCTGGTTTCTGGTACCAAAACATCCCTTGATACTACACTAACAATACATTACAAATACACTCTCGCAATCAGAAAACAGCTACACCATAACATTATAGTCTATAGTACAAACTTTTCACATATAGCTTTGTACATTATTATATTGAGATCTTCAGCATGTCTGAAATCAAATTCTCCATCATCAGCAAAGCAACCTCAGCTGAGCAGTTCATCTTCACGTCCCTCTCACCTGCAAAACCAGAATGTAAAATTAGGCATTGAACAAAACCAGAGTCAAGGCTCAAATATCATGTTCATTGCTACTCTCTTCGTTTTTAAATATAAGAGAAAAATAACCAATTTACATAGCTTAAGAAAATTGATTACGTTTAATAATTATATTTGAAAATAAAAAATTAGACTAAAATATTCTGATATTTAATCAAACAAGTCTGCATCAATGTTTTCTTGCGAATGAAAACTATGATTTTATGAGGAGTAATTTAAGAAAATTGTGATAAATGCTTATTGAAATGTAATTTTTTCTTATAAATAAAAACAAATTATCATATGACAGTTTCTCCTACATTCAAAGAGAGGAGTATTTCCTGTACTGTTGTGTTTCTTTTCCATCCTTTTCTTCATCTCTCTCTCATTATCTCTCTTTATTCCTCTACTGATTCTAACCTCACATCATCATTCCCATCAATTGCTTGAGTTACTTTCAATTCCACTCTTTGACCCAAAATAAGCATTAGAATGATGAACCTATTCCCACTTCCCACTTCTATGCTTCTTCTTCAATCTAAGTTTATGAATTCGAGGACATTTTCTATTCTTACTCGCATGATGGTTTGTTGTCCTAAGAATGTGTTTCCATGGAGCTTAGTGACATGAATAAACAAGATAGTGGTGGCTCTCTTTTATCCTTGTTCTTATTCTTTCTCACGTTATCTTTCCTTATAATTCATTTTGCTTATACCCTCACCTAATTTCCATTACTTGCTCATCAATTCCACTTTTTGACCCAAACCAAACATTAGAATCACAAGTCTATTTCACTTAAATGCTTCTTTAGTCTAATTCTATTCAATGACTTTTTTATATTCTCACTCACACTTGGCCTAAATAACACTAAGCAGTAGAGACGAAAGCCTACCATAGAAAGATGGTGCCTGATGCTTTTCATAGTTGTCAGGTAGTTTGAGAGGGCATGAGGAAAGTGGAAGCACAGGGAGATTGTGACAATTGCATATTTCTATCATGTAACCATCTGGATCGTGGAAGAAGAGCTGATCAACTTTAATTCCGCCATCTTCCACAACTGCTGTCACATACTCTATGTTCATTGACTCTAACTTCCTCATTATGAGCTGCACATCTGATGTTTGAAACGAGATGTGGTTATCTTTGGGGTTGATCTTCCCTTTCTTCACAGGAACCTTATCTGACTCCAGCAGGTGAATGCCAATTCCATGGTTGAACAACCTAGACAACGTCAAAACATGCACAAACATAACCTAATCAGTAAGCCAATATCAGATACCGAACTCTGAGAAAAATTATGAGATTCAGAGCAAAGACACAATAAAGACCCAGAAAATGCGATCCAGAGTCATTATATGAAGAGTAATTAGTTAATTACAAATCTCCATGTCGGATCGTAACAAAAGAAGGTAAAATCATAAAGACAGAAAGGTTCAAATTACACAAACAGCAGCATATCTGTAAACTCTTAGAAACTGAGCGCTGAAATTTTTAATGGATTCAAATTTCAAAATGAAGCCCCAATTAAAGTGCATAAAGAATTGGAAGATTTTGAGGAGTTTCCCAAAAAAAAAAAAAAACAGAAAGGCGCAATTGCATGAAATAGCACATCTAGAAACTATTAGAAACAGAACCCCAAACATTTATGAGACTCAAAATGAAAACACAGCCAAAACCAAGAAAATCTTATAAAGAATCAGCATATTAAGCAAATGACAGCTGAACACAAGCGGTAAATTCACTGAAACAGAGAGACACAAAGATACCATAAATAGTATGTTTATAAGGAAGCTTCTAGAATTTAGAAACCGAAGACTCTAAAAGGAACCGCAATGAAATTGCACAAAAATAGTTGGAAGAATCGGAAGTGCTGAGAATAAACGAGATAAATTTTCCACACACCAAGCTCCTTCAAAGATCACAAACAGTAAGGCAGAGAGATCATAAATATTAGTAGCTTATAGGGAAGCTTCTAGAATTTAGAAATCGAAGGTTCCAAACCAAATTGAAAACTCAGGAAAATTAAGCGAGGGTTTTCACGAACACACACCAAGCTCCTTCGAAGTTGAAAGAGGAGGGCCTCTTGATGAGGACGAATCCCAAGACGTCCTCATAGAACTTGACAGATTGGCTCACATTGTTGCAAACGAAGGAGACGTGGTTGAGGGAGATCAGTGGAAGAGGAACGGCTTCGAAATTGGAAGTGAAAGCTGGCGGCGGTGGTGAAACCGACACTATCTCTTCCACGCGATCCATGCCTCTCTCTCTCTCTCTCTCTCTCTCTCTCTCTCGAGTCACAAGCAATGCACACCGAAGGTGAAACGAAAGAATAAAGGAAAGCTGAGAATTAATGTGTGCTTATACGTGTGATGTGTTTGTGCTTACATCTTTTGCTGCAGAGAAAGCGAAGACAGATTGAGCCTTTTATAGATGCAAAAGTTAACACACGGCATGCGGTGGACGGAGGTGACTGTAAGTGAATATGACACGTGCACCTTATATTAAGAAAGTCTAGTTTTATTTACAAGCCGTTCAGCTACTGCTTATCTTATTTATAAAGCAAGGAAATATTTATTTTAATTTTATTTATAAAAATTTTAATAATAATTATTATATAAATCTTTAACTTTTTGTCTTCATTTAGTGTTGGAAATATTATTAAATATTAAAGTATTTTATTTTTAATATATATTTAACAGACATAAAGTTAAAAATTTGATGAATTTTAAACAAAATTAATAAGATTTTAGTTTTTTTTATTTCAGTAAAAATAATAAAGGTAACTTAAAACCAAAAATGGAGTATATAGTTAGGGATGTGGATTTGGTGTGACTTATAAAGTAATTTGAGAATGTTTCGTGTACAATGATAATAACTATTTAATTTATAATCGGACAACTATAGGAGACTTTATTGTATAATATTAAAAAGTATTAAATCTTAAATTTTTGAAGGAAATAATGTATATGAAAAGTGCTTTGAATTTTTAGAGAAAAATATATTTTAATAATTTTTAAATATTGATAAAATTTAATTATTATAATTGAAATATTTATCGAATGAGTGAACTTGAATTACTCATAGAATCTAAAACCACTTTATGAAGATATATGCATATTATATCTCAATCATTATTTATTTTATAGACTTTGACTCGATTAAAATTTAATTCTTATAATTTAAAAAATTATATGAATTGGATTTTACCAAATTAAAAAGAAAAAGAGAATTACACCTACATGATCACAGCACAATCGAATATTATAAAGTCAATTAACAATTTAACAGAGTTAAATTACAACTAAAATAGTTGTCCTTTTGCATTACTAAGTTTTTTATTGATATGTTTCTTTATCAAGTTGTTAATAAACTCCTTTTACTCATTTTTGTTGAGAGATACCTCAATAGAATCCTTCCAACAAAAATTATAATAATTAAATTGTTTTAAATAAAGAAATTATAAATATTGATAAGTTAAAATTATAAAAAATGTTTTTTTGAACCAATGATTGAATCAAAGTTTTATGGAAATGTAAGAAAATTAATAATACATATTTAAATGAAGTATGTGTATTAAATGTTATTGATGTCTAATTAGTTAATGTGCCTCCATTAGACAGAGTAAAGGCTAGTTTAGTAAAATAGAAAACCACCTAGTGTCGGTGAGACTGTAAATTTATTGACGTGGCAACTTCAGCTAGTTTTACTCGCTTTTTTCACCAACATGCAACATCCATTTCGAATGCGTCTACTTTTCTTTGTTGGAAAATTCAAAAGACAATTTGACCATGATGCTGCAAGAAAAACAAAAATTATTTACCAATATGCTGTAATTTGAAAAAAAAAATTCACACGATATTATAAGTTTAAAACTCAATTTCAATCAAAACAAGTTTCAAATTTTTCTCTTACAAGAAAGTATAGAACCCCATGGTTATAGACAAAGAAGGGAAGGAAAATTATGAAATGCAGTCATATAGAGAAAATGACAGAAATAACTTACCAAATGCATTAATTTAAAAAAAAATTATATGTACAGAACTCGATAGGGGGAAATTATGGAATGTAGTCATACATTGAGGGGAGCTAGTAGCAAGCATAATCAAATGTGTCGATATTTTAAAAAAAAAATTATAAGTACAAAACACTGTTTGGAACCTGATCCAATGGAAATTGAGTTTTAAGTTTACAATATTTAGAAAAAAAAATTTAGAAGTATAGCATGTTAGTAAATACCTTTTTTTTTTTTCCGTATAGCACCATGGTCAATTGCCAACTCAGAAGTAGAGAAGAACGCATCTACTTAGTAGCAACAGTTAATATAATATAGTTATTTTAAAAAATGGGGCATATGCACGGACAGTACTTGGTTTTTGAATTAAAGTGGTCCCTTATGGGGCATCCTAGTTGTGAAAATGTCTGATTGAAAAAAAAAAAAAAAAAAGTGGTCCCGTCCCTTGTGTACAAATAAATAAATAGATAACAAGGCAGACTCTTACGCGGCACGCCACGTGTGTCAAATATATCCGCAGAATCCACGTCTTAGTCACGGTATTTGTCTAATTTATTATTTATACAGGGTAACGTAACAAAATTAACTACCAACTATTTTTTTAAAAATATTAAAAAAATTATATCATTAGATGGTGTAAAATAAATTTTTAATTTTTAAAAATAAAACATTCAGTAACTCACGGTTACTTTTACTCAATAAATGTTATATAGAACCTACAAATGATAAATAGTGGTGTAAATTTAGCGACAAATTATTTTTCGATACGTACTGAGTAGCTTATACTATAAAAAAGACCTTTCAATACATTTTTATTAATTTTGACCAAACAATATTTATTTTTAAATTTATGAGAGCTACAATACATTGATCTCTTTAATCTTTTTGCCTTCTCGTCTTTAATTTGAGAATAAGAGGTTCAAAAAGTTCTTATTTGAAGACATTAACAAGAATGATGTCAACAAAATAAAAACTTGATTTTACTATACGTGAAAAAAAAACTTGATTCTTGCTTAATTTAATCACAAATTATTTCTTCTATTACATTGACATCGTCCTGGTGAATGTATTCAAATGAAAATTATTTGAATATCTTCTTTTCAAGTTAAGGCTAAGAATAAAGGTAAAATATTAGAGAGATTGATATGTTATAGGTATCATAAGTCTGAAAATAAATGATGTTTTGTCATAATTGATAACAACATATTGAAAGGTCTTTTTTTTTTATAGTATAAACTATCTAATTCTTTTAAAACAGTAATTTGTAACTAAATTTATACCTCTACATTTGTTGAGGTGGCAAGCCATGTGTCATTTGTCGGCCCCACAAAATATCCGTCAAGTGAAATTATTGATAGACTATTAGATGCTTTATTTGCAAAAATTGAATATTTATTTCACACCATTTAATAATATAAATTATTCAGTGCTCTTAAAAAAATAATTGATAATCAAATTTGTTACGTTACTATTTATATAATTATTTAATACTCAATATTCTCCATGATTTTTTCTCATATAAAATATTTTCTAAAGATATTTAATAGTTTTTATAATTATTTTTTAACTATATTTCTACTTCTTTTATTATTATTTTTAAAAATGATATATTAAAGTTTTAATTATTATTATTAATTTTTATATAAAATATTTAATAAGAGTGTAATTAGAAACATGAAATTATAATATTTTATAATATCATATTAACGTGTAATGCTTATTAAAAATGAATTGTATGATGTGGTCAAAATGTTAGATCACAAAATAGGAAGCGTGTTAAATATGCTGACAAAATAAGCTATGAAGAGTTGCATAGTTGCGTGATATTAAGATAACAATTGTTAAAAGCTGCTTTTACTTTTTTTATTGGGTTTTATTAAGTATAATTACACTGATGTATTCTTGTATTAAAAATATATTAAAAAACATTTTCTTCATATTGGTATTCTCTCTTATTTTTGAATTCTTATTATTTTAATAAATACTTTACCATGACTCATTTTTTCTCTAATTCAATGCAATATTAATTATTGAAGTCCCCGTGCTTGGTGTGCTATCGTCATCATCTTCATTTTGTATAGTACTACTATGGACCTTTGTATGAGAAGTACTATTTTTATCATGATCAAGAAAAATAATTGTAGTAAGTTAAAATCCATAAATATGTTAAATATATGATTTTATTTTCAGAAACACCTTCATCGATTTAATAACGGTATTAAAAATTTTCTTGATAGCTTAGTAATTAATCGGTGGCTTGTTTATCAATAAATAAAAAGGACCAGAGTACAATTTATCACTTAATTCAACTTTTCAAAAATCCAACAAATGCATGTACATCTCTAATAGAGGTAGAAATATAAGCCAACTGGCCCATATAGATTAAGAAAAATATGAATTGGATTGAATTTAACTTGTTTGTATATGGGTTGAAAAAATTCAAACCCAACCCAACCCTTAAGGATTGGCGGACTAAATGGGCCAACCTGCCAATTTATTTTTTATTTTTTTAATCTATTTTTTATGATTTTTTTAAAAAATAAATTTAAATAATAAGTTTTAATTTAATATTTCTTCATGATTCATTCTAAATATACCAAAATATTATTTTATAATGTTTATACAAAATATATAAATTGATACAGTTAAGAAAATCATATCTGATATGATTTATATTCATAAGATTTTTTTCCTTTTCTCCTTTTTTTTAATTTTTTAATAGTAATATAGGTTAAACGGGCCAACCCTAACCTATCAGAGTTAACCCATATGATTTACGGGTTATATGGTCTGAGTTAGAAAAAACTCATTTTTATTTGGTCAATTTTTTTTAACCAAACTCAACCCTTATGACCAACTATTCAGCTCAATCCACATAACTAAATCTATATTTCCAACTCTAACCCCTCAGGCTAAAATCTTGTTGATGTTTAAATTAATATCAAGGAATAAAAATTCAATTTAAAAAACAATCCGTACATCTATGCAACTCAAGTGATTTAGATGTAACACCTGACTAGACTTTGTGAAACTAAACTAAATTTAGTAAGGGCAATGCAAGTTTCCTAAATTACAATACAATTTACTCTAACCTATCATCTAAATTTCTTACCATACAATTTATATGCGACTTAAGCACCAAGCAGCATGACAGCCTGGCATTTATTGGTCAAACAACATCGACGTGGTCAACAAATGAGTGTTAAGATCAAATGGATGACAAAGAATTATATTCAGCGACGAATCCAGGGGGAGGCGTGCGCAGAGGGGCTGTGGCCCCATATTTGATATTTCAAAAACTTCTCTCCACGGAAGTAAGTTTTTGTTTATGATAAAGGCTAAAATTACTTTTGACTTCCTCACTTTTAAATAAAATTTTAATTATGACCCTTCAT